GAATGTTCCCAACAAAAGAAATGATAAACATTTGAGGCGATGCATATACTAATTACCCTGATTTGATCATTCCACACATTACACATTGCATACTCGTATCAAAATATCACACTGTACACCCTACATATGTACAATTATTATGCGTCAACTACAATTTTTAAATTTTTTTTTTAAAAAAAGACTTGGTAGGGGCTGGGCATGGTGGCATAGGCCTATAATCTCAGCACTTTGGGAGGCTTAGGCAGGATAATCGTTTGAGCCCAGGAGTTTGAGACTAGCCTGGTCAACATAGTGAGACCCTGTCTCTACAAAGTGTATATATATATATATATAAAATTAGCTGGGGATGGTGGCACACCATGTAGTCCCAACTACTCAGGAGGCTGAGGTGGGAAGATCACTTGAGCCCAGGAGTTTGAGGCTGCAGTGAGCTATGATCATATCTCTGCATTCCAGCCTATGCAACAGAGTAAGACTGACTCTCTGTCTCTTAAAAAAAAATAGGACTTGGTAGTGTGTAAAGTAAGCAAAAACTAATAACTTACTAAGACCCATAGGGTGCTATGTTATAAAGGGAAATATATAGAAATATAGTCCCCTAAAATAGTGCTATTCAAAGTTTATTCCACCAACTGCTACCTGTCCACAATGGAATATGTACAAAAATTGAGAGTAAGAGTTTAAAACCGTTTATAACATTTTGACATTAACATGATGTCTAATCCAAATGTAATTTTGTGTATGCTGAATGTAGTAATAAAAGTTGGGACTTGCATTTTGCATATTTATTTTATCTTTATTAACTTATTTTTATTAACTTATTTGTATTATATTCTACAATTATTGGTCCGTGAAAGATTGGAATTAAAATGTTTCCGACCCCAGGAAGCTCGAGAAATATTTCCCTAAAGCTTTATTTGTTGCCAATACTATAACTACTTCTAGACCATTTAAATGTCATTTCATCAAATGTGTGCTATCAGGTTGTTAAGTTTTCAAATTGTGTTCTACTAATAGCCTTTTTCAGAATTCTGTTTATATATTAGCCATAATACATATTCAAAAAATAAACTCCATACATAACCTTTAATGTAGATACTGGCGATGTTTTTTGTTTTTTTGTCCTTTATAAGTATTTATTTCCTTAGCTACCTTGTAATGTTCTGAAGTTACAAAGTGTCTTAGACTGATATAAAACAAATGAGTGCCAATGAATCTTATTTTGGCACTTTACATACACTTAAAACCTAAGGAAAAAGAAATCGTTTCAAAATATAATTATACTACTCTTGCATAAAATGACAGATCTCTGCTCCATTAACAATGGAGAGATACTTCTCTAACTTTGTCATGAGCTTTTGACAAAATTAAATAATTAACAAATCAAAATGTAGGAGTGCTACTTAATCGACAGCCAATTAGTGTAATAGTTTGGAATTGTACTTGTATACTTTTACAAACTAGTACACACTTCACAGTATTCATTCAGTGACCATGTGAAGATGTAGATAGCGCTAGGAACTCTTTTTTCATAGCCTTAACTCTGTAACTCAAGCTAATTGATGACTAGGAAAAAGTGAATAAATGAGGATTCAGATATGTTTAATTTTCTTGGTACTAATTTTCCATGGAACTAAAACCTGTTGTTTACTAGTCATTGGATTTCCAAAGTAAAGGCAGTATCGTCAATTGGTAATACACTGGACCTGGTATAAAAGGACAAGGACTCTATTTCTAGCCTGTTACTAATTAGCCTGGTGGTCTTGGGCAAGTCATAACCACTTCTATAGCTTTTGTTTTTTTCTCTCTGTTAAGTTATAAGATTGGACAAGATGCCTCTGTAGGTCCATTCTGGAGCTAAGTGTCCATGAAAATTTAAGTTTAAAAAAAAAAAGACTTTTAAAAAGTTATTTTAGATTGCAATTATCATACGAAAACTCTTCTAGATAGTTAAAAAGAAAGTGCTCCCTGGTTCAGATGGCCAATAAACCTTTTGAAAATGACCCTCCATTTATATAAGCCTGATACATAAATAAAATTGAAAGTAAAAAAATATAAGCATATATATTAATACTATTTTAAAGTTCATTCTATGCAGAACTTAAATTCTATTGTCAACAGATATATTCAAGACTAATACTTCATTTCAAAGGACAGAACTACTTAATAAATAACACTGCCCCATGCCATATTCTTTCTGTGAATACAAATTAAGGAATGACACCATCCAGTGCTATATTGTCTTTGTGAATACAAATTAAGAAGTTGGAATTGTTATTTGAATTTGGATTCAGAAGATAGCTTCCTGGGCAATCCCTTATGTACTAAGCTCTGTGTGTTTATGATATACCATTTGAGCAGCTGCAGTGCATTCAACACTTAGAGAATTTGGAAATGGATTTATATTAGGGTAAATTGGTACATTGCTGCCTAGAGAATATGACGAGGTTTGTACAGTACTCTGGGACAATTGTGTAGGTTGCTTGTGGTTGTTTATCCTAATGGTCAAGGGCACAGGGTGCAGAATATTAGGCAAATTCCAATCCATTCTTGGAACTGCCATTTTCTGTGGCCCACTCATCACTAAGCTCTGGGTTGATGAGGAATGCCTAAGGAATGGGACATGTGCTTCTCATGGAATTTGAATAGATCTAGGCATGCAGGACTCAGAAATCCCATCATAAGAAAGTTTTCCCTTCTTAATTTTTTTCCCTCAATTCTGATTCTTTCCAATACAAAGACTCAGTCTGGTGTTAGTGTGGTTCTAACACCTGCCTTAGTTACGATTTCCCTTTGCAACAAAGAGAGTCAACCAGGAGTGCCAAAGCCTTCTGCAAACAAACAGTATTTATACTTTAAAAACATTAGTTTGTTCTCTGTTCTTATAGTTATCTTCTATTTATGACTAGTGATACTGGCTCTTTAATTACGGTAGCAACATAAATTTATCTTTTTAAATGAATTTATTTAAGCCCCAAAGGTATGTTCATTTAGAAAAATAAACTTTTAAATAAATAATGGTACATGGCTGGTAAAAATTTCTAAGATTTGGTATTGCAAATGATTGACGTGTGGGAAACACTGAGCTGGTGGAAAATGCACTGAGCTGGAAGACAGGAATCTTGGTCGCTAACTCTAATTTTAACCTTGTCACTAATTATTGGATTGTCCCTGGGCAAGATCATGAGTCTTTCCTGCCTCCATTTCCTCAGTATTCAATAAGTACAATGACATTTGCCAAACTTTCTTTGGAATGATGATGTGTTAAATGATGAATAGTGAAATAATATAAAAGTTGAAAATTATATGTAAATAAGGTTTGTTACTGTGTGTCTGAAACAACACTTTTTCTTTTCTTTTTTTACCACCCCAACAAAACAAAAATAAAAATAAGATCAAAACTACTTAGGAAAGGATGGTATTATCTCTGTCGTCTCTCTAGAACCATGCCATCTGGTGGCAGGGTTGTGATTGTGTGTGTGTGTGAGGAAGACTCTAACTTCAGTTCTTCAGTCTCTTTGCTTATACTACTGCTAAATATTAAAGCTCTGGTTTGTTATTTTGATTGTATGTTTATTTTCCATGGTGCTAAAAAGCTTGAAAAGTAAACTATGTTTAAAAAAATAAAACTAAGAATGGATCTTATTCATTCTAGGGCTTAATAAAAGCACTATGACCTATCTGAATATTTAGAGCTGTTAAAAATAATGGAATTTAGTCTCATACCAAAATTGTTTCTTCATCCTAAATAATATTTGCAATCTGTTTATCGTGCTTTTCCATTGTGTTTATAACCCCACGTTTTCCAACAATGTGATATCATCTCTCCCCAAAAGATATTTTACTGTTACATAATACCATTTCCTATAGACTTCAGAATTTCTTTATCTGATTTAATCTCTTGCTTATCATTGAAGTTAAGGTTGTTGTTTTGGTTAAAATATAATAGATTGATTCAATATTTAACGTATTTTGATATTTAATGATTCATCATGTCAGGTTCATGCTTGTATTTTATTTTGAGACATACATATAACTAAGTTCTAACTTATTAATTTATTGTGTGAAATAGAGACTATTCATACCGACAGAACCGATGCTAGCAATTGTGGTTTGGTTTCTCATTCTATTAAGCAAAGCTTATTTAACCATTATTCCTGCTGAGCTAGAAGATGATAGACATCATAATCTTTTTTGTACATAAATATTCATGCTTGCTCTGGGACAGCGATTCTGAAACTTAAGCAGTTATCAAAATCACCTGTAGAGCTTATCCAAACACGGATTGCTGAGCCTGCTCTCAGGGTTTCTGATCCAGTCGTTCTGTGGGGAGGCTGGAGAATTTGTATTCCTGACAAGTTCCTAGGTGATGCTGCAGCTGAGGTTGCAGTTCTGGGACCACACTTTGAGATCCCATGCTCTAGTCAGTGGAAGGCAGTATAGCAGGGCAGTGAAACCACAGACTTTGCTGATAGGCCCAGATTTCAACCCTCGAGTTGACCTTTATGAGCTGTGTAACTTGGATAAGTTCGGGATCAATTTTGTCATCTGGAAAATGGCAATTATACTTATTGGGAATAATAAATGAAATAATGCCAATTAAGTGCTTAAAACAATGCCTAGCATGTTCTGAGCTCTCACTGAATGGAACATCAGTAACTAGTGGTGATGGTAGTTATAGTGATTGTGGAAGTTAGTAGTTAGTGGTAATAGAAAGAACATACACATTTGCTGTAGTCCAATTGCAATAAATGTCTATTAGTCTTTTCTAAGGAATGGTGGACAGAGAGCTTGGCTTTCATTAATGACACTGTGTCTATGATGAACATTCTGTACAAGAAGGGGATTCAGTGAAAAGAAGTAGTGCGTGCTGAGTGACAGGACTTGCAAGAGGACTTTGGAGATGTGAATCTAGATGCAGTTTAAGCAAAAGTTTCTCCATTTGTGTGATGTTTATCAACATTTAGAGCTTACTGCATTTGTTTCTTTCCCTCCCTTAGCAACAAGAGCAAGACCCAACAAACTTATACATCTCAAATCTCCCCATTTCTATGGATGAGCAGGAACTCGAGAATATGCTGAAACCCTTCGGACATGTCATTTCCACAAGAATACTCAGAGATGCTAATGGAGTCAGCAGAGGTGTTGGCTTTGCCAGGTAAAACTTTTGCTTCATATGTAATCAATCTTTCCTCATTGTTCTCTTTTAATTCCATGCTATTTAAGAAGTAGGGCTCAAAGCAATAGAATATGCAAAGAAAAAAAATTAGCTTATCAAACCTGTCTGAATCTTAGCTTGGAGCCAAAGAATTCCGATGCAATTATAAATACATTGTGCTTGCTAAAATATGTACATAGAATGTGTTTATGTGTCCCAAATCATAATGATATTCATACCCAGTTCCCAGTCCTCTCTGTGCCTATAGATCAACAAATTCAGATTTTGCCAATTCCTGCCAGGGATAATAAATGCTCTGTGCTCCAAAGCAAAAGAGCCCGTGTGGTGAACAAAGCATCCAAATGTTTTGAAATTGATTTCCAAAGAAGAAAGGTAGTAGAATTTCTTAGTAAGGAGAAGAGAGAAGAGAAGAACGATTTAGAGAAACAGGAATTATTGGGAAGTCCTAAGGAACCCAGAAATGTAAGGGGAGGTCAGGGAGGCGTTTGCATTTAATACCTCAGCAGAGTGTTTTTGATATTTTAGGCAGAACAGAAAAAAATATTGTATTTCTTTCATTGTTGGAAAAGGAAGAGTAGTTTTCATTTTAACTTTAAAGGAATGTTTACAAAAGAGGATCTCAGCCAGAAATAGAGTTAAAATGGTTGTACCTGCTGTGCTTTCATGAAAAACAAAGCTAAAGAAACCAAAGGAAAAAAAAAAGAAACTTCTCAATAACAACGAAAAAAATAAAAGTCGTGCCCTCATGGCTTGGTGTGTTTATGTGTGTCCCCAGCTGATTTAACATGGATGAATGGATGGATGTTGTGTGTCATCTGGAAGTCAGCTCATTGCAGGCAGGTGTGTCCACCTAGGGTCAACACTGCCATCGCTTAGAAAACCATTCCAAACTAACTTCTGTCAGCTCTCTTTGAAAGATAACAAATTGTAATCGTGTGTTAACGGATCTCTAACTTGATTTCCTTGAGGTTGTAGACCCATGTCCTAAAATTATTTATATTCCTAACAATGTTGTACACAAAGTAGACCAGTAGACATGAGCAAGATACATGCTTGATGATTTGAAGAGAAATGAGCAGAATGAAGAAAATCTTCCTGACTTGTATGTGTGCATGAGGTATTCAAGCTTTCAGAGAATTGACAACTGTGGATGTTCATGCTCAAGGCAGAGATAATGACATCACCTGGGTCTCTGAATTGGGCCGATGCAGTCATTCTTGAGTGGCGTACCACCTCCTATGGGAGATTTGAGCAACATAGGAGTCACTGAAACAACAGCTGGGTTTCACTTTACACAGTGTGCACATTGCTTTGGTTCTTCCTTCATATCCTGCTCTCCAAAAACTCTCTCTAATACATTAGTTTCTCCTTTTCCTGCTGAGAAATAAATGTATCTCAAATTCATCAAGAGAACATGTTTCTAAGAAGATCTATTGTAATTTTTTTAAGAAAACACAAAACAAAGGATTTTTTGATTCAAAGTATATTAATTTGCCAGGGCTGCCATAACAAAATATCACAGAGTAGGTGGCTTAAGTAACAAAAATATATTTTCTCACAATTCTGGAGGCTAAAATCAAGGTGTCTTAAAGGTTGGTTTCTTGAGAGGCTTTTCTCCTTGGCTTGTGGGTGGCTGTTTTCTCCTTGTGTCTTCGCATCATCTTCTCTCTGTATGTGTCTGTGTCCTAATCCCTTCTGCTTATAAGGGCAGCAGTCATAATGAATGAGGGCCACCCTAATGGCCTCATTTTAACTTAATTACCTTTTTAAAGACCATATCTCCAAATACATTCCCATTCTGAGGTACTGGAGTTCAAGTACTGGATTACGACTTCAACGTATGAATTTTGGAGGCGACAAAATTCAGCTCATAACACAAAGATTGAACTATTCACTCCTTTCACTTTATCTTTTCTGTACACTGAGTTTGCTTACAAGGCAGCATATTCTTAAAGTGTAGAGCCTCTTAATCTATATTGTGAGAAGGAAAACTATAATCATGGCATACGAATCATGGCGTGCTGTGAAGTCATGATGAAAGATCAAAACTTAGAAAGTTATTTTTCTTTAGGAACTGAGGAAGGGTGGGGATTTTAAATTGATACTTTATCAAGATGCAGTCTCTTCCTCCTCCATTGCATTTTGCATGTAGTAACCATTGGTGAGCCCTTAAAAATTCAAATCTGATCATGTCAGGATCCTGCTTACAATCCCGCAGTATGGCCCAAGCGATTTCACTTGCCACCCTCTCTAGCATCTCGCTGATGTTGCCCATCTTCCTGGCCTTGACTATTCCCGCTTCACATCCAGGGCACCAACTGCCCTTCTTGACTGATTATGCTTCCATGGCTCTTCTGCCTACTAATCTCTCGGGTATCAGCCTGAATGTCTTTTCTCCGAAAAATCCTCCACTGACCTCCAACCCAAGGCTTCACACAAAGTTAGCTTGTGAGCTTGTTACAACTTCTGTAAAAATTTTGTTTGTTTTTCAAATAAAATTTATCACAATTGCAGTAATTGTTAAATTAAATCCACAGCTTTAATTTCTGTCTTCACCCATTCAATTGGATATTTCCTTAAGTCAAGTTTCCTCTTTCATTACTGGATGGACGGGCGGGTGGGTATTGGACTTCATAATTACCATTCCATGAAGTTCCTGAATAGCTAAGCTCAATGGTCAAACTTTGAGCTTTGAATAGGAATTATCTGGCACACGCCAATACTGAAACTTGGGTCTCTGTACTCTAAGTCATGTATTTTCCAATTTTGGAAAGTGGCGTGTAGATTAAAAAGGAAAACATAGGTTCAAGTCAAGCCAATGATTTCTTATGTCTAAGAACTAAAAAGAAAATGTGTGTCTGACTCTTTTGTAAGAAGCCAGGAAAATGACACAGAGTATCTCATTCTCCACGTATCGTATCTTAAACTTTAAATTTTGAGGAGCAGGATCTCACATGATTAACCTAATTTGATGGGGTGAGAATATAATTTTAGCTATGCCTGTGTAAGTGGATCTGCTCAAATTCCTACGTCCTCACACTTTAACATTTGGTCTGCAGTTTCTCAAACAGTTGTGGCTGTTGTCTTAATTAACTTGATCCTTCACAACTTAACTGTTACACAAATGTTCCTCCTTTTTACAATATCCTGTCCTGTTTCCCCCTCAGCCTTTCTCATCTGGAACTCCCATCTGAACCATAAAATAGAAGATGGTTTGAGTCACTATTTTTTTTCCATTCTTCCAAGGATAGTGCATAACAAGTGAGAGAAATTATTGGGTTTAAATGCAGATGTCTTGTGACAGTGGTTCTCAAAGTGTGGCTCCCAGATCAACAGCTTCAGCATTACCTGAGAGCTTGTTAGAAATGCAAATTGTTCTGCTCCCAACCAACTGAATCAACAATCTGGTGGTGGGAGCGGGCAGCAATCTGTTATGTTGTGTACTAACAAGCACTTTAGAGGACTCTGCTGCTCTCTAACACTTGAGAAATATTGCCTTAGGGCATTAAGACTGGTTCTTAGGATGATCTGAAAGGTCTGTAAAAACTCTGATTGCTGGGCCCCATTCTTAAAGTTTCAGTAGAACAGAGGTGGGACTCAGTCATTTGCATTTCTAACAAGTTCCTGGTGATGCTGACACCCTGATCTGAGAACCACACTTTGAGAACTACTGCTCTAAAGTCATCTGTGATTTTTGCAGATGGAGTTGATGCCTGTCTGCCTGTTGATGTCGTTGTTACATTGTATTACTTTCTCAAAATGCACTAATCGTGAATCTATCTCTCTGTTCCTTAAGAGTAGAGACCATGCCTTATTCTTCTTCATATCTGTTACAGCACCTAAATTTTATCTGACATATAATTGATCTTCAGCAAATTCCTCATGATGAATAAATGAAATCACTTTAAGTTTTTTGTTTGTTTGTTTCTGACTATATGACAATACACAGGAAGACAACATTTTATGATAATGAGAAGCCAATTCTGAGATAACAAGTACTAAAATATTAGAGAAAACTATAGGAGCATCAACCAAACTAGTATTGCCTCACACATTATTTCTTTCTCTAAAAGTTCACAGTGCCACAGGCATTATTAAAAGAATATACTTATTCAATTGGGAGAACAGTCAGCCTATAATTGTGTCTACTAAATTGTTGTACATAGCTCTTGAATTTATGACTATCTCAATTCACAAAACCTGAATAATTCTTTCAGCAGGCTTCATTTTTAATATTACCATTGGTCACTTCTAACCACCAGATGTGGTTCTTAATTCACGTGCAAGGGATTCTGAAATTCCTTTGACTAGAAAGAAACCACCCCCCCATTATTATTTCACTTGCAAGCTATACATTAATCTTCTTTGATAACCATCCCTTCAAAGTAAAAGGAGTATCTTCATTTTATATTTAAAACACTGAACTTCAAAGCATTGATTGGAATGCCAGTAGGGTGCACAGACAGCACAATTACAGGCTTTTCAAAGTTCCAAAAGCACTAGATAGTGTCTGAAATTACAGACATTTTATTTTTTTATTTCCATTTTTTTTTTTTACTCTCTTGTAACTTAAAACAATTTTGTAAGATCCACCCCCCTCCAGGCAGCCTTTTATAGCCAAGTCATAAACCTTTAAAAACAGAAGTTTATGGTGGGAATGCTGACAGAGCCACTGCTGCAGAGCTAGCGAGGGCCGACAGACTACCTTGCCTGCGAGGGTGAGGATCACAGCATAAATCAGCCGGAGTCTGGAGGGACATGACTGTGTGTTCATGTTATCCATTTCCCATTCCCAGAAACATGAGACCATTTGTCCAGCAAACGTCACATTGAAAGAGTGTTATGAGAGGCCAGTAAAGAGTGACCCAGAGTGGAAAAGGGATGGGAGGTGAGCATTCACAATTAATCCAGTTTCAACATCTGGGAACATGGAACTTCTTTAAGAAATGCATTTACTGTCCCCTGGTGAGCTAAAGAGC